AAGCTATTGCACATGGAATGGCTAGACAGAAAAAAAGGAATAAAAAAAAGTTTGGACGGAGTCAGTGAGACTGTGTGTGTGTGTGTGTGTGTGTGCATGTTTCTGATAACGGCCACGCTCCAGCCCCGCCAGAAACCATCATTAATGCTGTAAACAATGGACCATTCTATCAGCATTATCTGACGTATCACATTTCTACAAGCCTGTAATTGTTTTGCTTTTTTTTTTGTTCGCACTTATTTTTGTCTTGCATTATTGATGCTAATAATTGATTTGAGACACAACTGAAAAGTGATATGGGTGGTCTTAGTAGGACCATACACTGTATATACTGTATATTGTATATAATCCAACCAGAATCATGTGGCTCTGTGACAATGAGTGGACATGATCAGAGTGTCTGTTTGTTGTGAAATAATAAAATATATTATTATTTATTTACAGTATTTATTATACATATACTATATATGTGTATCTATCTATATAGATAGATAGATAGATAGATAGATAGATAGATAGATAGATAGATAGATAGATAGATAGATATTAGCTGATCATACACAGAAAATAACACTCAGTAGAATGCAATTTCAGTCTCTAGCACACAAGGGAATGAGTGTGGAGAGGGGCAGGTTGGAGGCACATGAAATTATTAAAACTTAAAGGAGAACTCTGGGCAAAACTTTTCTTAACCCTTGCAGTGGGGCTGACCCCGCACTACAAGGGTTAAGTGCTCGTTTTGGTCTAGGTGCTAAAATAAAGTTATACTCACCTAAACCTTGCAGCTGGCAGCAATAGTATGTCCCTCATGCTTGGCTGACTCGAGTCTTCATCCTTGAAGACTCGAGGATGCCTAGACTGCTGCAGCAGAGGGGGAGCAAGGCAAAAGGGACCTGTCTAAGAGCCAAGCAACTGGGAGGATCGAGTGAATATACCTTTTTTATTTCAGCACCTAGAATGAGCAGTTAACCCTTGCAGTGCAGGGGTAGCCCCACTGTAAGGATCAACCAAAATGTTGCATGTCTGAGGAAATTTTGACTTTTTGGAATGTTATAGGCTCACCACACATGTTACAATCTGCTTTTACAATCTCCTTTAGATCTACCAACAACTATGAAAAGAAAGGTGTCTGCCTGATTGGAAACAAACTGATTGGATATAATAGGCAGGTCCTCCTAATCCATAGTTCTGGTAAATCTTAGGTTGATTGTGCAAAGATTACACAGATTGTAGCGTGCAGGGTGACCAATACAGCCCCTCGTTGTTCTCAGAGTACAGGGTATTTCTATAGTGGATAAGTGTTGGATAAAACTAAAGCTCAATCAGATGAAATTCTAACAGAGGGTAGCCCCGCCAAAAGTCAACTGAGTAAGCAGCCGAGCCAAAAATTGTCAGCTGAACAGTCGCTGCAGCCAATCAGCTGCAATAAGTGTTCAAATATGATGACAGCTGTCAGAATGCAATATCGTGCCGGGAGGGGGATTCGTCCATCCACGCTGTTTACTGTGGTTGGAGGAATCTGTCAGATTTCTTTTGTCCATCCTGCCGGCTGAAACAAAGAAATCTATTAGTGCACAGCCAGCGTAACGACTAACGTATGGACAAAACCTTGAGTTTTGATAATTACTTGAATAACATAAGAATAGCTACCATCGCTTTAAAGGGCCAGATCATCTAAAGCAGTTATTTCTGGCAGATCACGAACAGTCAAACCACCTGACGGTGTCTTATATTCTTGCTAGTATGTACTAAGTTTGTACCATAGCAATTGCTAAAAGAAGAAGTGCTAGAACACACAAAGTTGGGTGGGAAAACCAAAACTCACAGATGGACAGGAATAGAGTTGGGAATTATGTCAAGGAGATCACACTGTTGAAGAATTTAAAGCAGTGGTTCTCAACCTGTGTACCCTCAGGACTCATATTTGTCCTTGGTCATTAAGTCATGACCCAAGCCACACTGCGTAGGAACGCACGGCATTGCGGTACCGCGCATTTCAGTGTGGGCGATCAAACTGTGGGTGTGAGGTGCGTTTGGGGTGCCATTCAAATGAATGGCAATGCAACACACCTCCCACATGAGAACGGGATTGTGCGATTAACGCACTGTACTAGTGTGAACGGGCCCTCAAAACACTGACAGACACACACAACCACAGACACAATCTCACACAGTCATAGGCATTCTCACACACACATATACACACTCCAAAAAAAAATGTTTTTTAAGATCCACCGAGTCTCCCTACCTTACGAGAACTGGAGTGGATCCTCAGCCTGGGGTCCAGTGTGGGCTGCTGTGCTGTGATGGAGGTCCATCCATATGTGCATTGCTTGTACAACTCCCTTTTGTGCCCTGTAGAGGTGGTGGGAGCCAGACTGTGACGTCACTCCAGTCCAGGCAACTCTACAGAACATTTGAGGTATCTGTAAGCAATGCAGGTATGAATGGCCATAGCCCCATCCCACCCCACCTCAAGCTGACACTCGGCATCGGGCAGCATATTTTGAATGGCCGCTGAGCCTGAGAACTGACAATGCTGTTCAAAGGAGAGGCACCTCACCTAGAAAAGAGGAAGGCATGCGGTGACCCACTGAACATGGGGTTGTGACCCACTAGCTGAGAACCAAGGATTTAAAGCCTATTTCTTAGAAAAAAAACTCTCCTTGCAGCGGGGCTACAGTTTAGGGTAACTGTGTAGAGGACTTTTACTTACCTTTTACTTACCTGATCCCCGCTGGCTCTAAGACTGGCACCCTCAGCCTCTTCCCTTCTATGCTCTGGTAGTCAGAGGCTCACTGACCTCATCACGTACAATGCAGGGTCCATAGCTCTACATCATACGTGAGCACACCAACGGTTCACAAGCTGGGGTGTAGGAGGGACAAGGTGAGTGCTGATTGCTGGGGGAGCGGGGAGCAGGAAAGTAAAAGTCCTTTACACAGCTTCGTAGACATTAACGAGCAGGTAACCCTTGGTCAAGCCCTATTGAAAGGGTTTTTTACCCCCCCCGGAGATAGGCTTACAGCATATCAAAAGCATGGGGCTGACTAATGCATAATACCGTAAACAAGAACAAGTTGTAGGTGTCATAAAGCATGGCATTCTATTGTGAAGGTCCCCTTAACCCTGTTTCTTGACATAAGAGAATATTGAGCATGTATCCTCAAAGTGTTCTACAGAAGCCATACAATCCACCTTACAATTAAACAAATCAAACTCACTGGATGACATTTAAGCACTGTGTATCATAATCAATCACTATGTTTTCTTTTTCATACTATAAGATATTGTTTTCAACCTTTTTTTTCCACCTGCTGTACTCCTCTAGTCTTTTTCAGCTACTCTCTGTCTGCAAACATTCTACTGTTGGCACATCATTGTCCTGGACCAGCTTCTTATTAGTGGCAACAGTGGACCATGCCAGTGCAATGTGTGTGGGCACAGCCTCTTGCAGTCTCCATCAGGGGTGCATGTGACATGACAACACAGGCACACAATCAGGAGACAGATGTCACCCTATAACAGGAAGTGCCTGAACAACCTTAACGGCTGGATCACCAAGTATTATTTTGATGAAAGCTGCAGATTTAAAGCGAAGAATAAAAACTTTTAAAAAAAAGGGAAGAATTAATACTTACCTGTCCCAACACCTTGGCTGCCAATCATCAGCCTCCGACACTTCCGGGAGTGTCAGATGCCTTTTTTCCCTCTGCATTCTGTGTTTTGATCTGCCAGCTCCTACATCACTACAGTTCACAGCAGTGATGTGACGTCTGGATGTGATGTGATGTCCAGGTGATGGCTGGAACTACAGCGCTCAGTGGGGGACCAGGCATCCAACACAATGGAAAGTGTATTGTATGCTATAGGTTCTTCAGAGTACAAAGCTCAGTGGTGTGGGTGGCGGGACAGGTAAGCTTCTAATCTTTACAAGCAGCATTTCTTTTGTTATTAAAGGGACTGTGCATCTTTAAAACAATTAAAATAACTTTTGAAATGACAATGACATTAAACAACATGAGATTTTAGCATATTGGCATGATAAATAGGATGATGAAGAGGGACACCTTCCAGCACAATGTATTTCCGCAATGGGCACACCCCCAGGTATGTAGACCACTAAAGCCCATCTCCAGGCAAACAAAAAATGCACCTTGCAGTGAGGCTATCAGCCACAGTGTAAGGGAAAGGGCTTGTTTTTTTCTAGGGACTAGAGTAAAGCATTTTTACTTACCTGATCCTCGATCTCCCCAGCGGTCAGTGCTGTCCTCTTCTTCCCCTCCGTTCTGCCTGTAGAATATCCCTTGGAATCCTCACATCTAATGCAGGTCTATAGAGCCTGCATAAGATGTGATGACGTCAGCAGTCCTTAGACCACTGGAGCCCAGGACAGAATAGACTGTGGGGGCAGGTCTAGCAGCCTAAAGGAACAGGGATCAGGTAAGTAAATCTGCTTAACTCCAGTGCCCAAGACAAAAGTGAGAACAATTGCAGTGCAGGGATAGCCCTATTGCATGAGTACTTTTTTTTTAGTTTGCCTGGAGATGGTCTTTAAGAATTTAAATAATTGATTAAATGCAGAATTTTTTTTTTTCCCACCGTTACTTCTCCCTTATACAGGCTTTTCAAAGTAGCAAACAAGGTCATTAAGAGATACGATAAAGGATTTAGTGCAAAATAAAAATTTTGGTAGTTGAGTTGCATCTTATCATATCTGTACAACGGAAGAGGGACAGAGGGATTTGCTTCCAAATGAGGGCCAGTCGCTGCAAATAAAGGACAGTTGAGAGGTCAACTTCTAGTAGTGCCTGTGTTTTGATCCATTCACAGTACAGATGAGAAGGTGTATGCAGGAGCTGCAATCCCAAACCCAGACAATATTCCAGTAAACACCGAATCCCAAGCGGAGGCTGCTGTGAAACGTGCTGCTTCCATTCAGCAACGGTTACTATGTTATTTTAAAGACAAAAGAGACAAGGAGAAGACAATTAACTTACTGCTATGGCTTGCAGGCGTTCCCTGTGCAACTCTGCCTCCGCCATCCTAATTCAGCGTGGAGAAAAGCTTATGAAATGTTAGGAGAGGGCTTTAAATGAGTCCAGGTAGGCTGTAGTGTTAAATGTGCTTAAGTTGTGAGGCAGCTCAGTGTGTCTCAGACATAGACCATTCCACACACTGGACCAGTGCCTGTCTGCTTCCCATCTGTGCGGCTTCTGCTGCTGTCACAGACCATGTATGCGCTCCACAGGCAGCCCAGCCGAGTCATGGACTGCAGCACTTTTCCATCCTCACCGTGCTAAGCTACATTGCTCCTCCTATGTGGTGTCAAGTCACCATAGGGCACTGCCATCACTAGCACTGCACTCATACAGATGGTTCAACATGTCTTCCCAGGGAGAGACAAACACAAAGCACCAATGACTAAGCTGAATGCACACAGCCTGACATGTCATAGACCGGCACTGGCACTTTTCTATTCATTTGTTCTCATCACACTAAAATGTGCTTTATTGGCAATATTAAAGCGTATCTAAACATACAAACAAAAATGTAATAGTGGTGGCTGCATTAGTTTTCTTTTTATTAGGCTTTTTTTCTTTTATTTTTACCTGGTGATCCTAACAGTAAGTCTGTTATTTATCAACTTTCTTTAACAGACTAAGCTGTCCAGCAAAATAAGCAGATAGAGGGTTGGGACAAACCATTTACCACTAATAGGGGTACAATGTTCAGCTCAGTGGCGGACCAAAGGAACAAAGGGCCCTGGTGCAAGATATTTTCTCAGGCCCCCCTTCCCCCTCCCAAAGAAAAAACCTAATGCCCCCCCCCCCCCCCCCCTCCACAGTCACACACTATGATTATACATTTATATAGCTCTGACATATACCGCAGTGCTGTACGGAGAACACTGAGGCAGTCATATCAGCCTCGGTAATGAGGAGCATACACTCTAATGCAGAATTGCACCAGCTGTAAAGGGACTACAAATCCCAGCAATACATTATACAGCAATGTAGAACAGTATACAAATTGAACTTATGACTTAGCACACTGGACTCCAGACTTAGCAACGCACTGGACTCAAGACTTAGCAACGTTTGCTAATATTTGCTAATATCTAACACTGGGATAGAGAAATATATTATAATAGGGAACATTACAGTGTAATGTTTCCTATTATAATCCATTCCTTCAATTAAATTAAATGACAGCACTGTGTGCAGCTTCTGGGCACCCCCACATCAAACCATGAATTCCCCTCCCCCCATCTCCTCAGTGACAACCGCCTGCGTTGTATTCAGGGCATATACTGTACATTGCAGGCAGTATATGGCCCCCCCACGGCGGGAGGACGGCAGCAGCAGAGCACGCTGACAGCCTTTGTGCTGCCCGGCCTGCCACATGCCACCAAAGGGGAAATTACCTCCCCCAGTCCAGTCGGCCCCTGTCAAAGCCTTGGGTCCTTGGGCGGCCGCTCCGGCTGCACCGCCGGTAGGTCCGCCCCTGGTTCAGCTTTTATTCATTCATGTAAAACTGACAGCCTCCGTGCTGCCCGGCCTGCCACATGCCAACGAAGGGGCAATTACCGCCCCGTCACCCAGTTCAGTCGGCCCCTGTCAGCGGGCCCCCCCAAAGCCTTGGGTCCTGGGGCGGCCGCTCCGGCTGCACCGCCAGTAGGTCCGCAGCTGGTTCAGCTTTTATTCATTCATGTAAAACCTTTATCCAAAAAGGAAATTAAAAAAACCTGTTGCTATAACTACTTAAAAAGTGTTATCTGGTGTGTGGATTTCATTTTGTAGTCAAGTCCATCTAAATCTTCTAGTGCAGGGGTGCCCACAATTTTTGTGTTAAGATCTACTTTTCAAACAACAAGCTACATGAGATCTACCAAGAAAACAAAAACCTCCCTCGCTCTCTCTCTCTCCTTGCTTTCTCTCCTTGCTCTCCTGGCTTTCTCTTCTCACTCTCCTGGCTGTCCCTCCTTGCTCATCCTCCTGACTGTCTTTCCTCGCTCTCTCTCTCTCCTGGCTGTCATTCCTTGTTTTTTCTCCTGGCTGTCTCTATTTTCTCTTTGGCTGTCTCTCCTTGCTCTCTCTTTCCTGGCTGTCTCTCCTCTCTCTCTTTCCTGGCTGTCTCTCCTTGCTCTCTCCCCTGGCTGTCTCTCCTCTCTCTCTCTCCCCCCGCTCTCTCTCCTGTCTGTCTCTCCCCGCTCTCTCTCCTGGCTCACCTTGCTGTATTTTGCAAACAGTGCAGTGCAACAGGCTGTGTAAACTAATATTCTTTGATGTAATACATAGCATTTCAACCACCAGTATCCACCAGAAAGGTGTCAGGGAGCTTGGCTCAGCAGACTCAGGTTGATAGGTTATCATGTGTGTACAGCTAAATAAATATACCAAAATGGAATAAAGGGGCCGCCATTCACACCCTTCGTGATCTACCAGCATCAGCTTTGAGAGCTACTGGTAGATCACCATCTACCTAATGGGCACCCCTGGTCTAGTGCATCTAACACTGCCCTCCCCACAGGGTGACAATGTTGCTGTCCAAGGGTGGCTCCATTGGTCCTCCATAGTGTGGATCCATCCTAAGGCTGCCCATACACCTTGCAATCATCGGACGACACTTTTTGTCCGATGGTCGAACCGTCGTACGATTTTCATATGGCGGCCCAGTCCTGCCCTGATTATCGCACGATTGGATCAGCGGTAATTAAAAGGAAGCAGTTGCACGAATTGCGGTAATCGACTGCACGTATTTTCGTCTGAGCATGTGCAGTGTAAATCGTACGAATTTTGACGTACGGAAACGCCACCAACCTTGCAAAAATCGTACGTTCGACCGAAGTTTTCTAACCTGCCGGTTAGTCAAAAGTCGACCAATTGTACAGTATTTGCGGTTGTACACTGCCCATCAACCTTACGAATATCGGACGAAAACACAATCGCATACGAAAATCGGCTGATATTTGTAAGGTGTATGAGCAGCTTAAGACAGGAAGTGCATTACTGGCCGGATCACCAGGTGAAAATAAGGGACAAAAAAAAAAGGATTGGTATGTTGCAATATATAATTATTTTTTTACATATGCTTTAGAGCAGAACACTGGGCACAAATGTTCTTAATCCTTGCAGTGGGGCTACCCCCGCACTGCAAGAGTTAACTGCTCTTTTTTATCTAGGTTCAAAATAAACAGTTAAACTCACCCAATCCTCCGAGATGGCTGGCTTTTAGACCAGTCCCTGGAGCTTCTTTCTCCCTCCTCTGTAGTGGGCTAAGGTCCCTGACTCATCACATACTTTGCACAGTATATATGAAGTGAGACCACCAAGGGACATACCATCGCTGGAGCAGAGGAGGAGACTGGCTAGAGGGAGCACTGTCACAGCCAGTAGGATCCAAGGTTTGGGTGATTATAACTTTTTTTTAAACCTAGACAAAAACCAGCAGTTAAACCTTGCTGTCCGGGGGTATGCCCACTGCAAGGGTTAATAAAAATTCTGCTTTAAAGCATATATAAACCCAAAAGCAAGAATTTTATATATTGTAGCTTGCCAATTACATATGGTGGCTGTATATATACATATATACATGCACCTTCCCCCAACTTTTCCCTTGAGATTGATAACACAATTATCCAACCCTCCCCCCATGCCAAGGTCCTAGGTGTCATCCTTGGCTCGGACCTCACCTTTCTTTCCCACATCCAATCACTATCCAAATCCTGCCGCCTTCACCTTCGTAACATCTCCAAAATACGCCCCTTCGTCACCAATGAAACCGCAAAACTGCTCATCCACTCACTGGTTATATCTTGTCTGGACTATTGCAACTCCCTCCTCATTGGCCTACCTTTAAACAGGATATCCCACCTTCAGTCTATCATGAATACAGCTGCTAGGCTCATCCATCTAACCTAACACTCAGTGTCTGCAACCCCTCCCATGCACGCCTCCAGGGCTTCACTAGAGTTTCTCCCTTCCTGTGGAACTCTTTACCTCAGCCTGGCCGACTATCTCCCACACTGACTGCCTTTAGGCGATCCCCCAGGACTCATCTCTTCAGGGAAGCCTATCCCACCTCCAACGAACCACTGAACTATCACATTCTCAAATAATTCATCCCCACACAGCTACCTCCCCCACCTTTTAGATGCAGGGCAGGGCCCTCCTTACCATTTTGTCTTGAATTGTATTGTGATTGTAATATCTCCCTTATATTGTAAAGCGCTGAGCAAACTGTTGTTATATAAATCCTGTATAATAATAATATGTCAGTATTTTACTTGCCATGGTAGTAGCCCGGTGTTTCATGCTCTCTGATGGGCTTTTTTTTTAAGCTATACTACAAAGGAAGAGGAGACATGGTAAGACCAATTTTGTAGCGAGGAGGAGGAGATGGCTGGAAACAACCAGGAAGTATGGCAGCGAGATCTTACAACTGTAGTCCTCAGGAAATAGAATAAGCTGGCTTGTGACTCCCTCCACAACCAATATATCCCCTTGACTCACCATACATCTTACAATTCAGCCGTACAATCTCTGTACAATCAACTTTAGATCTATCAAAACTATGTAATATGAGCACCTTCATAAACTATCCAATCAATTTGTATCCAGTCAGGCAGACCCTTGCAACACAGATTGTAACATGGGTGGTGAGCTTTTGGAAGAACTGATGATTTAGGCTTTGAACTTCATTTATAATGTTTTTCTTGTTCATTCTGTATACATAGCTGCATTCACGTGTGAGACTACTTTATAGAAATCTGTGACAATTGTTTCCCCATGGCAACAAGCATCGCCTGAATATTTCTTAGGTGGGCACAACCGACAGCGAAAGAGTCTGTGTAGGCACAAGGAAATTAGATAAATATCACGGTTATTACAAAGGTTATCTCTCTTTGTCCCCGTCACAATCTTATATTAGTTGGAAGGGCAGTTACCCTTTAAGAAGGATTTTAATTTAAGGCTTGTGTACATTACAATTGGGGATTTTCTTCTGACATGTATAAGATTTGGAAGGATCTTAAGCACAGTGTGTACATTATGAATTGGATCTTATTGAGTTCCTTTTTGGTGTTCGGTATGCGGTTCTCAATATGTCATATTCTGTTCCAGTTTATTGTTGCATGTATAGAAACCAATGAAGACCGATATGAACACATCCAAAATGTATCATTAATGCAACATAATTGTATAACAAATCATTTGAAAAAGTATCAAAGACGCATCATGAACTTGCCTTCAATTTTT